TCCCCTAGTTGAGGGGCGCCCAGGGGAGCACAGCAGCGGCCCGCGCCGCGTGGCTTGCGGAGGACGGGCCTGGTCGCGCCGTGGGTGCCAGCGGCCGAGCTGAGAGGGTTGCAGTCCCGCTCTGGGGTGTGGGGAAGGCAACGCGGCGGACGGGCGCTTTCCATTTGCCATCGTGAAGACCTCAGACGCTTCCTTCGGCGTCAATACCAGACCGCTCGGAATTCAGGGAGGTGAAACGGGCCGACGCAACGAGGATGGCGCTAGGCTGCCCTTCTGGGCCGCATAATAGTCCCGCTCTTCAAATGCCAGGATGCCAGCGCTCTGTCCGCACCCAGCAGCTCTCATCGGAGAACAACACCGACCGCTCCGGGCGCGGTGGAGCCGTCCTGGTTGCACTAGGCCCTTCCTGCTTTGTCCGGGACCCGCCAACGGGGCCATTCGGAATTCTCTTCCTGGGGACCGGACGTTTCCCCGAATACCCTTCTTGGGGAGTTTGCTTCTGGTATCTACCTGTCAAAAACTCAGGAACTAGGTTGTCCACGGACTTCAGTCCCTCGGATGCGGGTCCGCTGTGCCCGAGGAAAGGACAGGCTTCCGCTCGGGGTAAATGACAAAGGCTGTGATCCGACACCGCCGCCCCTCGTCCCCCTGCTGGGCTGCTGGTGTAACGCCACCGATGCTGCCGGCCGTGTGCACACACCCGCGCGGGCGAGACACCCCTCGTGTTTTCCAAGGATATCTCTGAGCAGACGTGGTGCCGGCGGCCGACAAAAGAGGGCGTCTTGTGGAAGGCCCTGGAGAGCTGTACACATAGCAACCGGTGAGCACCAGGTTAGATGAAAGCTAATTAAAAATGACGTATTAAACACGGTGCTGCCGGCTGGCGAGTGCCCGTGTTTCACGTCTGCTTCCCCAGGGATACGATCCCAGTGCCCCTTCTCTGCTGAGTCATCGGTTGGTTACCTGCGCCCCACCCCCAACCCCCCCCCCGGCACCCCCGGAACCCCGAACCCCCCCCGGCCCTTCCCGCTGTTCGCCCTTCCCGCTCACTTGCTAAAAACCCTCCCACCGAAGTCATCCCACCGGTGGCCTTTAAGGGAGAGGTGTTTAGAAAGACAATGGATTATGCAATTTCATTTCAAGGGCTTATTCTCGGAAAAATGACTCAGATCATGGAAAGGGTCTGTGTATTCAAATGAGAAGTGAATCATTCCTACCTGTTTATGGTCCCTCCCTGGCTGGGACCTGGGGGAGGGAAGAGGTGAGCAGATGATAAGAGAACCGAGTGTCTGCTGCGGTAGGAGCCCTCAAGTGCACTAAGCCCCCACAAAAAGCTAAGTTTTAATGGCCTTGACCTCAATCAAGTTTTTAAAACGATCTTTTCCTGGACTTGTCCGTATTTCCACTTTTCTTTAGGACGAGGAGATCGCTGCTGCGAGGAACTTGGTTTGTAGGCAACTTTGACCCAGTCCTCGGCGGTAAAATGTGCATACCTGTAACCATAACTTATGGCAAAGAGCCATTGACATTGGTTCCTTTTATAGCTTATTTGTTGCCCAAAGGAGGGGCCTGCCTGTGTGTTATTGTGTGTGGGTGCGGGATCTGGGTCAGTCCGCCCTTTGAACTGATAGGTGGCCCTGGGATTACCTGCGCGCACCGGGAAGAAAAGAAACAGAACTCAGGGCCCCGGAGGCTTGGCTTGGCGCGCGCATCGTGCACTTTCGCAGGCTCCCAGGAGAGGGCATCCACTTTTTGGAAAAATATCTCGCAGCTACCGGTTTCCCATTCCCGAGGCACACGGCGTGAGCAGCCCCTGCCCCGCGAGGCCAGCTGTGGAAAGCACGGAAGTAAGACATGCTTGCTAACCTACGTCTTTTCTTGACATAGTGTGTCGTTCAATGCCGGGCTTGAGGGCAGCAAGGACGGTCGTCGGCCTGAAGTGTCAGAGCACAGCGCTCGAAACAGGAGCACGCCGCGTGGCCAGAGAGCGACGTGTGATTAAAGACACATACCTGTGGGGATCGGCACAGTCTTTTCAGGGTTGGAAACCTATTGGGGATCACATGAGCCTTGTTTGCCACCATAAGAACAAACAAAACCAATAACCCAAAGGACCAGATTAAAAAAAGAAAGAAAACCGCAAAGGCACCTGGGTGGCTCAGTCGGTTAAGCGTCCGACTTTGGCTCGGGTCATGATCTCACGGTTCGTGGGTTCAAGCCCCAAGTCGGGCTCTGTGCCGATGGCTTTGAGCCTGCTTCAGATCCTCTGTCCCCACCTCCCGCTGCCCCTTCCCACTCGTTCTCTCCTTCTCAAAAATAAATAAACTTAGAGAAAGAAAGGAAGAGAAAGAAAGAAAAAGAAGAAAGAAAAAGAAAAGCAAGGCTCCCTGTGTTTAGACACCTGACGTGCTTGGGAAGCCACTGCGCCTGACCCGCCAGCACAGTTGTGGGGAAGGCAAGGCTCACGTGTCCTGCAGGCTCGCAAAGGGCGCGCACGCTTTGCCCTGTCCCAGCTGTGTGTCAGATGGTGGTTGGGAAAGGACCATGTGTGCAAGGCACACGTGCAAAGGTACAAAGACTAAACCACAAGACGGCGATCTGCCAGCAAGAGTCACAGAACTGTGGGGCGCGCGGCTGGTCCTGCGGCTGCACCAGCCTGAAGCCCGGCTTGCGCACAGGGTTCATGCAGCTGAGGCACCAGCTGCAAGGCGCCTGCAGGGATGTGGCAGAGCTGAGGCTGCTGCACGTCTCTCCTTGGAGCAAGCGTGGCACCCTCACGGGGGGGACCCGGGGCTCTCCGTTCCACCTCTCTGCTCTCTCAACACAAACCTCTTGGAAAATGAGTGAAATCACATAGGCGTTGAAATCTTACCGTCTCCAAGTTTTATATTTAATAGAGAAGACAGTCCAATGTTGAGCATCCACATTTACAGCTGGTTGTGGTGTTCTAGAACCCCAGCCTGGTCTAACCCTGAAAACCCAGAGCTGGGTCTCTGTCCCCTACCAGAGGCCTATGGTCACGGCAGTCCTGGGAGCATCAGGCCGGTAAGGTCCATGGGGGGGGGGGACCCACGGTGGTGTGAAGGCGGCCATGTGGGGGGACCCACGGCAGTGTGTAGGCAGCCATGCCATTTGTCCGGTGACCACAGTGGGTGTTTTGTGGGTGCTGTGCCTAGAGGAGCCGCGGGGAGTCGAGGGCTGGGATGGCCCGCAATTGTGGGACCAGACGGGCACGTACAGGGCAGCCGGGCCGGTACTCACTTCCTCAGAATGTCTGAAGAGTCCTGGCAAAACCCCACTGGCTCGACAGAAGAAGAAAGGCCTGCCAATTCGGCACACGTCACTCATGTGTAAATTATGTTTAAAAGCACAACATCAGAAGGAGAGAGACAGACTCTGTAAATCGCTGTCTGGTCGACACAGAGCTAATGCGCTCCCTGGATGTGAGTGATTCAGCCAAATGCGGTGCTTGGCACTTACGGAGTCGAGAACTGATACGGGGTGGCCTGCTATCAGTTGGCGTGCAGATGCACGTTCTCCTCCTCCTCGCCCTCTGTGACGTGTGCTCGCGGTCCCTGGAGGGACAGCAGGGCAGGCACAGAGGGGAGGGCGCAGGACGGCACACTCGGCGGGTGTGAACTCTCAGGAAGCGGCTTCTTGCCCGTCTCACGGAGCTCTGGGAGGATGGAGGTCAGCCCTCCGAGAGCTCCCGTGTCGTAGGAGGAAGGCGGATTGGAGGCAACACAGAGTTCCAAAGGAGCAGTGGGGACCACTCTGCTTAGTCGACCAACCACTCACTGTTTAGTAGGTACCAGTCGGACAGAGAAGAAAACACCATTTCCAGGTAAGTCTGCCCTGTCCTCTAAGGCCTCCCGGGGAGGGAGGGGGCGTGAGACACGGGGAGACAGGGCGATGGGGTCATGGGGCACAGGGACACGGGGAAAGATGCCAGGGGGGCTCACTAGATAATATGGCGCTCGGTCCCCATGGTCTCGTCCGTTGTCCTTCCCGGCAGGCTGCTTGGGTCCCCCTACAAGGAGGCCTCCGCAGACCCACGCCTGATCGCCATCGGGATATGACCGGACCCGTGGGAGCAGCCAGGAGGCTTGGAGGGTGGGCGAGAGAGGTGCATCCATACAGGCCCTGAGCAGGGAGCACCGAGGGGTCCCCGATGCATCTCAGGGGACCCTCTCAGGAAAGCCATAAAGCTGACCTGTGAGTAGCAGTCACCAAATACAACACTTGCCCGCATCACATTGCCTAAGACAGGAGTGTAACTGTGGGTCAAGGATGGGAAAGGAAATGGGAGGTGACAGATGGGAAAGACACGGGAGGCGGTGAACAGCGGCAGGGACAGCACGCAGACACACAGCCGGAAGAGCACGGTGGTGCCGGACAGGTGGGCACGTGAGGTCCCGTAGGGCCTCTCCGGGGACAGCCTGTGGTCGCGGGTACTCCCAAAGGCTCGTTATGGGATCCGACTCCGAGCAAGAACGTCTTCGAGAACGTCCTCCTCTCCCTGGCCGGTCACAGGAGACCCCGGGCTCAGACTCGTGCTCCTCCTGAGAGCCCCAGGCCTCCGAGTGCCCATCACGCCAGCTGGCCGAGAACTTCCCGGCAGCGTCTTCCAGCCTCCAGGCTCTTCCTGCTTCTCTGAGAGAGCCCGGGTGGCAGTGAAGGGGTCCGTGAAACGGGCTAGGACCGGGATGAAGAGGCGACGGAGTGCTCAGATGCCTTCTGCTTATCCGGGGCCTGATCATCCACATCCACGAGGGCTCCATCCCGGAGCCGGCCGATCTCTACTTGGGACCTGAAAGTGACAATGACCCTGTTTGTCGACAGAGGACGCTCGTGAGCCCCTTCAGGATTCAGTACAAGACGGCCCGTCCTGTGGACCCCCAGAACCAAGGCTGTGACGTAACGGTCCCCCGTCTTGGCTGCTGCTAGCGACGCGGCTGGCTGTGCCCGGACGCTGGACACAAAGACTCCAGTGGTCTTCCCTGGTGGTGGTGCCCAGCCACCACGTGGAAACAAAGCTTAAAGCTTGATTAGTGCGTGCTTGCGTTTCCTTACGTTTCGGCTGCTTTGTATCTATAAATATGGAGCAAGTTAGCTGCTTAACGGGAAGTATTCTGAAGTATGAGCAAGCAGAAAAGTAGTTACAGTCTTATTACCCAGATACACCTATTAACGTTTTGTCCTTTCCTCCTGGGTCTTTGTTACTGTTTTTTAAGCACAGTTGAAATCACACAGTAGATACGGTTTTGAAAACTTAAGAAGGCTTAACATAGCATAACAATTTCCTCATGCATCAAACAATTTTGTAAACAAAATGTAAACACGATTTTTTAATGGCAGCATAAAACTGAAATATAAGGATGAACTACATTTTACATTTTCCTCTCTTAAATTACAATTCTAATAATATTAATATTGGCTCCTACTCACGGAGCCCTTGCTATTTCTAAACACTGTGTTCAGCATTATATATAGATTATCTGGTTTTAATTGTCAAATCAATCCTGTGGAGTAAATACTACCGTTTTACCAATATCAGAGGTAAGGAAACCAGGACTCAGTGGGGACTAATGGTCCCTGGCAGGTGACCCAGCTCAACAGGATCCAGACTTCTTCTGAGGTCCCCATGCCCCACGCACACATGTGTCAAACCCCTCCCCTGGGGCGGGCTTTGTGCAGGTGCCAGGAGCGCAAAGCCAGGGAAAGGCCGAGCTGGGTCTGCTCACAGCGTCTCACCGTCCGGCAGGGCACTCAGAAACACACTGAGCGCCCGGTTGATTTTGGGGACGTCACTGGACATTTCCACTGCGTCTCCTCTTTTGTCAAATGGAGACACTAGGACCGGTCATGACCATCGCGAGGAGCGGTGAGAAGTGAAAACAGAGAGAGTCCTCCTCATGTTGTGCGGGGGGCCTGGCAGCTCCCTGGTGGTGGGGAGGAGCAGAGAGGGGGACCGGGCACAGTAGTGCCCAGAGGGTTGCAGACCTTCCAGTGTACGAGTCGACCGAACAGCGGAGCGGCGCCCGGGGGGCTCAGTCGGCTGAGCATCCGACTCCTGGTTTCGGCTCAGGTCATGATCTCACGGCGGGGCGAGCCCCGCATCACACTCTGTGCTGACAGTGCAGAGCCTGCCTGGGATTCTCTTTCCTTCTCTGGCCCTCCCCTGCATGTGCACTCTCTCTTTCAAAATAAATAAATAAGCTTAAAAAACTATTTTAAAAAAGGAATCAACTGAACAATGGACTGTTATTCAACCTTCAAAACGAGGGACGTTTGGCATGGACGGGCCTGGGGGACATTATGCTCAGAGAGATAAGCCAGACACAAGAGGGCACATTTTGTGTGATTCCACTGACAGGAGGTACCCAGAGGCGTCAGGTTCAGAGAGACACAAAGCGGGGCTGGGAGGGGGACAGAGAGTCAGTGTTCGGTGGGGACAGAGTTTCAGTTTTACAAGGTGAAAAGGTTCTGGAGACGGATGGTGGGGACGGCTGCACAGTGCCGTGAATGTGTTTACCATCCGTGAACTGGACCCTGAGAAATGGCTCAATGGTGGCTTTTATGTTCTACGAGTTTTATCGTGATAAGGAAGCAAGCGCCAGAGTTGTTCTCTGCTGCGCCGGGCTGTGTGTGCTCCCTAGAGGGGCTGGAAGGGTGGGCTCCTTGCTGATTTACCACAGCAGGTGGCATGTGGGACTCCCACCCGCTCCAAGGGAGGAAATGATGAAAGGTGAGACCCAGGGTCAAAAAGAGAGAATTGGCCTGGACAGTGACACGAACCACCTCGGCGGGGGGGCCCCCCCCCCCCCCAGGCAGAAAAACTGAGGCTTTCCAACCTCACGTGTGCTGGAGACGTTCTCGGGTGGCGTCGGCGCGTCCCGAACTAGACCCTCGGGACTCGCGTCCCTGCTTATTCGGCACTGCTTATGCAGCACCCTCGGGGTTCACGTCAGAACTGGTTCCAGAAATTTATGACCAGTGGAAACCACCGACTCAAAGGAAGAGACAGAATTTCAGGCAAACACAGTGAGAGATTTGGAGGTGGGGTCCCCAGACCCCAGACTACACCTGCACAGTGGCAGGTGTTCTGGGTGGCGGGTGGAACCCGAGGCAGGCAATTCCTGGGGTTTCAAGCATGGTGGGCCCACAGGAGTGGAGGCTGGAGTCTGCTGTGACAGCCCAAGGCAGGGGGACGGTTCTCGTAACCAGGGACAGCTCACTGGGCAACTGTGTTCAGCAGGGCCAGGATCCAGAATCAGGAAGCAATGTTGTAGAGGTTTCTGGGCAGTCAAATTAAATATTACAAAGTTAATGCACTGAATCTTGTGCTTTTTGCTGATAATAGAGCCCTTGGGCTCTCACTTACAACCTACTCACTCATACAGATAATTCAGGCAAGCCTGGCTACGTGATTTCTCAGCTCACGGTCTATCAGAAATTGAAGAAAGCTCAGAGGAGGAGGACAGGGGGCTGGCTGAGGCAGGTGAAGACAGCACTGGGGCCCTGACAGCAAAGGAGGGGCATGAGGCATTGCATGGGAATAAAATAATAAAACAGCTTTGCAGCCATGGGCAAATAATATCATGTACCTAGTGTGAGGGGTCCAAGAGAAAATCCTAAATGGTGCCTGAAATGTTTGGTCCCATAATGGAATGAAATTTCCTTTTCTGACAGAGATTAAGGACATTTGCTCCTCTGGAGGGTACTCCTACCTATCTGTGCCTGCCTCCGGAGGACAGGCTGAGGGGAAAGGTGAGCGCTGAGATCAGTTCTACTTCTGGGACCCCATGTGTAAGGAGCTGGAAATTGCTGTTTCCCCGTCGTATGAGTTTCCCAGCAGCCACTGTAACAAGTGTGATCAACTGGGTGGCTGAAAACAATGGGAATTTACTCTCCCCTGGTCTGGAGCTGCAAGTCCAAAATCAAGGTGTCTGCTGGACCTCCCTCCCTCTGAAGGCTCTGGGAGGACCCTTCCCCGCTCACAGCCTCCAGTGGTTCCTGGTGTCCCTTGGCTTTCCTTGGCTTGCACATGCTTCACTCCAGCCCCTGCCTCCTTCTTCACATGGCATTACCTCTGTGTGCAGATGTCCTCCTTCTCATAAGGACACTAGACACTGGAGTAGGGCCCACTGTCCTCCAGTATGACTTCATCATAACCACTGCGTCTGCAAAGATCCTATCTGCACACGCTGAGGTTCTGGGTGGAGTGGATTTGGGGCATACCATGTGATCCAGTACAACCACCCTTTACCCATCCCCTTTGTCCCTCCTTCCCGCCTGCTCCCCGCTTTTACTTTGGAGATCCATCCAGTTCCACTGACTTCCTGCTTCCCAGGTGTGTTCAGCCAACCAGAGCACAGCCAGTGTGGGAGGAAACAGCTCCGTCATCCTCAGGTGAGGGCAAGGAAGCACCAGGGGCAAGTCAGCCCGGGAACTGATAGTTGTTGGTTGGGCTGGAGCCAGCCGCTAGACTCCCAGACACCCCATGAGGGTGGTCTTCAACGCGCCCAGTGCCCACCATAGCCGTACCAGAGGTGCAGTTGGCCCCCTTCCCATTTTGCTAGCTCCATTTGGGTTCTCTTTACAACCCAAAGTGTCTTAAGGCTCACCTCCGTAGGCCTGTTGACGGCTGACCCATCTGTCTCCCAAATCAGGCAAATAAATAAAGGAAACAAAACCTTTTCTGCTTTGGGAAGAAGTTAAAAAGGCACTTGGTTGTATGGCCAACCCAGCTGCATTTGTTCATCACCCAAGAGGGCTGGGCCAGTGAACTACAGAGCCCAGGACCTTTTGGACAATGGAGGATTCCTACCTCTGTGCAGAAGGCTGGTAACAGTTTCAGCAATGAAGGAGTTTTACTGGGAATGCAAGATGTGTGAGACCCCTTGACAAGCCCTAGGCCCAGGAAGTCTTGAAAAAGTGAACAAAATGAAAGTAATCCAAATATGGTCTGACGTAGAGAGAGGAGACATCCCTCAACAGGGCACACCCTAAAACAAGTCTACAGTAGTTCTGGGGGTATAAATGTATGGATATAATATGATAAACAGCTATGGTGATCATAATCATAAGTCACTAAAAATCATTAGAGGCCATGTGCCTCTAGAATATAAGCATCTATTATTTTTTGAAAAAAATCATAAAAATTTTAAAAGGTGAATATTTCAGTTTATCTGAAAAATGTATTCTTAGAATGCTTCTTGACAATGCCAGATAAATTAAGAATTACTTAATAGCACCTCTGTAAATATATGCATTTGTTTGAGAGCGGAGAGGAATCCATTTGTGGTGTTTCAACTAAAGAACATATGTTCTCTGAGATCTCTGTTCAATGCCCGAATGCCTATTTATTTTTCCTATTTCTCCTATAAAGAAATAAGAATTGTCTGAAGAAACAAAGACTGCTTATTGCTAACATACAAGTTTGCATGACTGTCTAGATGAAGTTTTCCTCACTAATTACGATTCTTTACTCCTAGGTATATATCCAAGGGAAACGAACACAGACATGTGTCCCAAAAGGACTTGTACACAAATGTTCACGGGAGCATTAGTCATAATAGCCCAAAAGTGGAAACGACCCAAATGTCTGTCAGTGGATGAATGGATAAGCAAACTGTGTTATATCTGTACAATGGGCTATTATTTGGCAATACAAAGGCTTGAAGTATGACACATGCAACACTGTGTATGAACCTCGAAAACATTGCGCTGAGTGACCATATGTTGGAGGATTACACTTACATGAAAGGTCCTGAACAAGTGAGTCCAGAGAGAGAGAGAGAGAGAGTGGGTGAGTGGGGGCTGGGTTGGGGTGATGCAATGGGCCTGGTGCAGACAGGAACAGGGTTTCTTTTAGAAGGGACAAAAATGTCCTAAAATTAGATACAGAGGATGTTTGCACAATCCTGTGAATATATTAAAAACCACTGAATTGTATACTTTAAGTGGGAGAATTCAATGGAATGGGCATTGTAAGTCAAGGAAGCTGTTAAACACACACAATTCTTACCCACAAAGAGTTCAGAATCACTGCATTCAAGATATTTCCATGTCATTTTTCGGATAATTATCAAAATAATTAGATCTGGGACTCTGGCAATTTAGGTTTTTTCCCCCTTTTTTTACAAGTTCAGACAGCAATTTCTGCTATTGTTAGAATGGAAAAGTATTTCTAGTTTCCAAAACAGTCTTGCTCAAAGTCATCCTGAGGTGTGAACAGCCTTCCTGAGGCATGAATAGTCATGCTGAGGTATGAACAGCCATCCTGAATTGTGAACAGTCTTCCTGAGGTGTGAACAGTCTTCCTGAGGCATGAATTGTCATCCCGAGGTATAAACAGCCATCGTGAGGTCTGAACAGCCATCCTG